CATTTGGTTGTATTTATTGCTGCTAAAGGTGCTACAACCACTTATGGAAGACGTGGGGAACTATGGCCCTTTTATGACTTGTGAACTTTAACTCCCAGAATTCCTGATCCAGCATGGCTGGCTCAGGAATCCTGGGAGTTGAAGTCTACAAGTCATAAAAGGGCCATAGCTCCCCACCCCGACTTATGGAATCTGAGGGGTGATTAAGTTCTTATGGTGGCACGTTGACTGTTGGGTTCCAAATAAGTCTGAAGGCAAATAGAGCCATGAATGAAATGAAAAAGAGATGAGTAATGAATAAAAGCAAATTCTTTCCCTATCCTAAGCCACCTCAAGTCTATAGAAAAGGTTTTCAATCTATTCATTGTGCCAAATTCCAATGTTCTGACACTTTCCATCCCTAGAATGAAGCTTTTCTGCCGAAAGCAAATGGCCTCTACAGTACCTTCCAGAAATTTCCAGACAGAAGATATAAATCCAGTTTCCTTTTCATCTATGACGAAGATTGTGGATGAGGCATCATCATATTCAGACGAATCAGAGCGTGTGCTGGATCAGGCCCCTAATTTAGCATCTAGTACGCCTCATACAACTATCCAATCACCCCGAAGCAGGCCAGAGCAAGCAGCATAAATTCCTTTCACTTATGCGATTTCTGTTACATTTTTTTTCTTGTTTCATAAATAATATATTATATGAACTGGAAGGAGCTCTTTAAATGATTTATTGATTTCTCTAGCTGCCCATCTCAACAAACAATTCTTATTCCCCTGTGTAAATTTATTTGTCCTCCTATCCTTTTCGTTTTGATATTAAATCTGATGAAAAAGCTCTCTTTCCCGGCTTATATTTAGGTATTGCAGTTAATTGCAATTGGGACTTTATACTGTTTAATCCCTTGCATGGAGTTGGCTTGAGCAGAAGCAGAAGGGGTGAGAAAATATATTTAATAAGCATCACTGGAAGGCTGTTGTGTATGAAAGAAACATGGACAAGAAAACTGAGAAAGTCTGAATGACCAGCAAAGTCTACATGGGGTTGTGATGAAGAATTTCCCCTAATCTGACACACGCTTTCTCCATTCTTCTCATCATTCCAGAAAGGTCTAACATATCACAGCTTGCTTTGAGCAACCAGGCTTTCTCAATCACCGCCCTAGAGGTGGGTGGAAAGTACACTTTTCAGTAGACCAGTTTTAGCCATCTAATCAGTCCAACAGATTTGTTGGCTGGCTAAACTGCTTCCCGAAGGAGATTTATGGAAAAGGTAAGTGGATCTAGGTGTGACGGGGTAGGGAGTGTGTGGGACCCAGCAGGATAGGATAGGGGGGGGAGGATAGGCAATGGGGGTGTTCATCGTTCCTACGGTGGTTGTAAGGACACACAGATTGCCAAATGCCCGAATTTTGTTCAAGTGACTATGGCAGCCCTAAAGCAGCCCTAACTACAAGCAGGGCTTATAAATCCTTTGTTCAGCACCATCGTAATTTTCAATGGTCACTGAATGAAACATCAAAAGTCGCGGGCTACCTATATTGGGATGGGTTTTTTTTTTATGGCAACACTAACAGCATTCCCTCTCTCTCCCACTTGCAGTTCACTGTTTACCAAAAAAACTTTATTTCTCCTTTTTCAATTCAAATTCAGTTAAAAAAAAACCAGTGGCATGTTCAAATTTAAACAATCACAACAAATACATGAATTTCAATGTTGATATGTTAGGCTAAATTGCTAAAAGAGAGGCAAAAGAAAAAAACACACACACAATGCAGCACAGATGTTTCACCCCCCCAATGAAAGTCTTTCAGAAATCCCAATGCTTAGACCTGTATTTGACATGTAGCACCCTCACGTGGTGTGAGCAAGCAATTTCATCATCACCTGCTTAAGAAATACACACAATCCCTGTTTGTTTTTTAAATTTAAAAAATTCCAGTCCTGGAGGAGCCTTTGATTCAACTATTCTCTAATACTGTTTTACAAGACAAAACCCTACCGTAATCAGCTTTCAACAGGGCCTGCAGATCAAACCTCAAACACTGAAATATCTTTTGCACACCAGGAGGGTTTGGGGCAAGAGGACTTTTAAAAACTGAATTAGTGATGGTATCCAAATTCGTCTACGCCAGAGGTAAGCAATCTTGGCTTTTATGACTCATGGACTTCAGCTCCCAGAATTCCTGAGCCAGCCATGCTGAGGGGAAAGGGAGAGGTTGCCATGCTGAGCCATGCTGGCTCAGGAATTCTGGGAGTTGAAGTCCATGAGTCAGAGCCAAGGTTGCCTACCCCTGGTCTAGGCTACTGTAGATATTTTAAAGCTAACCGAGTTTGTATCTGAACACTTTTGTTTCATTTTTAACTATATTTTGTAATGGTGGTGAAGACTGTGTAATGTCCTTGAAAGGGAGTTAGAGGAAGAATCTGTTTTCTTTTTCAAACCAGTGGAGCAGGGGGCAAGTTCCATTAAAAACATTCCAACTTAGAAGATGACTACACCATCTCCTTCTCTTGCTCAGTGTAGGTGAGAAAATACATCCTCACCAGATTTTGGAATTTGGTGTTGCACAGTGAAAACTACATGCCCAGGTTTAGAGATCTCAAAAAAAACACACACCTTATAACTTAGAAGTGATTCCCCCCTCCCCAATAGTATTTCCTCTCAAGGCTTGGACTGCCACAAATCCATCAGATGACCTACATAATATGACAGCATTTAAGATACTGATACTTCTGGGTTGTCCTGAAGCTCAATGCCAAGGATGGAAATGTGTTGGCTGAATCCCAATGCCTGTCAGTCTTAGAACATGGGCACTGAGGAGTACAGAGTTTACTGCAGTCTATAAACCTAACCATTGTTAATTTTAAACCATGGTTTATGGTTTTAACTTGTTTGTTCAGCCAGGTGGCAGGCCACAGGTAATGTCTAGTTAGGAAAATTTCAAACCAGCCTCAGTTCCAAAGCTTGTAACCAAGTACAGCCCCCAGCCACAAATTAGCAATGACTCTGAATGTGTGCAACCTGTGAAGTCAGTTCATAAGCTTGATTTATTAACAAGTCTTGCCAGTCCAGCCAATGGTGGGTCCTTTAATAACCCATAATTAAAATATGGTTCTGTAGAGTGAACAAAGCCAGGTGCAGTGAGGAGACATTGAAACGTATCAAATTGGAATGTATTGCATAAATTCACCCAAACTGACATGGATTGGGGAAACTGGGTGAAGAACATGAAAAAAAAAAAAAAAAACCACTCCACCTGCTTCTTGCAAGACTTCTGAAATTATGTCCACAGACTGAAATCGAGGATCTCAAGAACTGTAATTTAATACACATTTTCCGTGTATGGGAACTCCGCCCCCCCCAGATTTGAATAAAGATGTTTTTAGTGTACCAGCTAACTCAGCATAAAATCTATAGATTCAGTTCAGCATAGTACAGCTGACAAAGAATTTCAAGCAGTTTTAATAAGGTTCCTGGAAATACACCAAATATAAAGAATGCAAACAGGATGTTGGCTGGATTTACTTCCTCCAGAGGGAGTAGGAAAAATTACACTTGCCAAGTTCCATCACAAAAATATTTAGTCCGACCCATCCAACTGGTGGCCCATAGGCCACCTGCGGCCCTGGACAGCTAGTAATGTGGCCCCAAAGATCGTAAATGTTTGACATTATGTGATTTATATACATTAATTATATTATGTATTTTATATGCATCCCAAGACAATTCTTCATTCAATGTGTGCCAGGCAAGCCAAAAAGTTGGGACACCCATGATTTAGAAATACAATCTTTTCTCTCTTTAAACAAAGAGGAGGAGCTAGTAATGGTTTCATACTCATATAAATTATTTTAGGCTCAGAAGTTTCACCATCCTAAGCAACCTCCTCTCCTCCTCCCCACCCCCTCCAGTATTATCATCTTCTTACAATGTTGGAGAGGGGAAAAACTTTGCAGAACTCTACATCCATGTAAGCATGAACAAAGCCTTACAACAGAGACTACTGATAAAACAAAAGCATCCCAAGTGTGCAAATCCAGGCATTACATATGAAGTTGAATACAGGTGCATATTCAATGTAAGGCTATATATAAAGGCATTTTTAATCATGAAAAACATCAGCCACAATCATCCAAGACTGCTTCTCTTGTGAAGATGCTGTGGGGAAAAAAAAAAAAGACCCACCCCCTGTGGATAATGCCCGACTTCGTAAAGCAGTTGTGCTGGCCTTTGGCTGTAATAAAAGAATTTAATCGTTTGTAAGGCAGAGCAGCATTTGCATCCATCCTAGTTTAAACATATGTTAAGTTTTTAAAAAGCACTGCTAAAGAGTATCGGTAAATGTGAACATTTTTGCATGTCTTCAAATGCTTCACTGTAGTATTCTCTAGCAGCTGAGCAGGACCTCAATGGTTGTTCAGAAGACAGCTGGGTACGGCCAATGCCTTTTAGAACTAACATTTAAAACAAAGGGACATTGTAAGGGATTGTATACCTTAAATTCAAATGCCAATACCTTTGGTACATCAACTCTTCTAAAAATAAACAGATGTCATAAAATATAAACATCCACATATGGACAGTAATCCATCTTGGTCCCTGCCAATGATATTTTGTTTGCCATATAAGAACTAGACAAAATACCTTATGTTGTCCATACCACCCTGTTTTTAAGGGCTAAGTAGTGGCCTTACAGCTCAATACATTGATTGGTTCTGTACCAAAACGAACAATAATATTTGCACAAGGCTGCAGCAAAAGTCATTTATAGTCCAAGTGTTAAGCCACTTCAGACTTTTGCAGAAACAAGGCCCTCTTTTGCACCTACTCCTGCCTACCCCATTCCTACTAACAAAGTCTTACTAAAATGTCTATGTAAGCTTGTTGATGAAATAATTCTTTAGTGCAAAAAACATTTGAAAATAAGTCCCTGTCTCCAAGTATAAAGTGCAGACTTTACTAAAAGGAAGATACAATCCAATCCAAAATCCAAAATGGATGGGGATCTTGAGGCAATTTCAGCTTCATCCTTGAAATGCAGGTACATGAAATATAAGCTTTTTCAGACATTGGAAAACTTTTACATAGACGATAGTTATATTTAAATCAGAATAGCCATAATCTCGAAGACGTTTCTTTAAGCATGATTTCATTTGTATCAGTCAAGATCTCTGGATTCTGGTTTATTGTTAGCATGCTAATTTTGCCGATAGAAAATATGAAACAAATGTCAGAGAATCAGGCTGAATGTAAACCTTATCAAGCTACACAAAGTTGTGGATGTATTGATATGGATGGCAAAATCCAAATTTCCTTCTGTTCAGCTGGAATGTTTCAATTCTTTAGGAGTTTAACACAAAGCAATAGGGAACTTGATTAAAAGAGTTGCATAACTTTCTCATCAAAATCCTTTTTAAAACACACTAGAAAGTGATGCATATACATTGTTCACAGGTGGAAAATATCAGAACATGACTCCTGTAAGCTTGTGGAAAAGATTTTAGAAATAGGAAACTTGAAATATTCAAGAACTGTACTGTTTAAGAATTGTTCTACAACTAGGTTGAAATCCCCTTGGCTTGAAAGAATATTGTTCTCTGAAATCTTAACCTCACTATTAATGTACTACATAGCATTGCCATTTAAAATGGATCATCATAGCAACCTATTGAGGGAAAAGAGCTAACCTTAGCTTTGCGCTAAAGATTTCTGTGTTATAAGCTAATTATCGCATGCACTTTTGCACATAAGTCACTTCATCAGCTGCAGTCTCAAGAATGCCTGTATAATAAAATGGTGAATCTTTAATAATAAAATGGTGAATCTTTAAAGGGTCATGAAGTTCTACTACTCTTTCTACAAGACACCTGCAAACACCATAGTATACCTACAATGTTTTATGATTCAAAGGTCCTGCAGGCTGCACATCCAAATTCTGAAGTTTTGGTAGCTGGAAACACCCACATAGCTTTTTTAAAGCACTGATGCTACTGAGGATTGGCAAGGCCACTACTTCCAATGTAAATATATTTTAGACTATAATTCAATATTCAAGAGAAACTACATCCCTCATCGTCAGAAGGTATAATGGAAAAATGACCTTTATTTATCCTATGATAGAAACCAGGCATTTGGCTTTTGACTCAAAATATTTGCCTTATGTGTAACAATTCTTTATTAAATCCGGTAACAGTACCTAAAAGGTATCTTAGCCTATCCTTATGCACGTGAATACAGATAGCAATAGAGATAATTATAAAACAGCTATAGCCAACTATCATTTTATAGAAGGCTACTCGATTAGGCCTTCAGAACATTACAAACATATCTTGAGGGTTTTTTTAAAAAAAACAACAGCATTTTTTTTTTGCATTGCCTAAAGGCCAGCTGAAAATGCTGTAGCATCTAAACCAGCATTTCTCAACTTGGATTACCTGCTTGATATGTTTAACTGGACTCCCATCTCCAAAACCAGCATGTTGTTGCACCCGAGAGAATGAGGATTGCTGGACCATGTATAAACTATAATTCAGTAAGATTTCCACTTCTTCATTTTCCCTTAAAACTTTCAGCCTGCCTCATATATAATGTTTCTGGGGGCTCAGAAATGCTTTGGAAAAACTTCCCCCACCCTATATGCATGGTAGGAATGCAATACATAGTAAAAGCTGAAAAACATTTGCTCACACTATATGGCAACCAATCCACAGGCATATACTGTTCAAATTCAACCCTATTGATAATGTGCTGGTATTAATACAGAGGTGGTAGCAAAATGGGATTCCTGAAGGTTTTACTGAATCAATTTGACGGCCTATGTGTCGGTTTAGCTCCGTAATGCTGTTAAATTTGGATTGTCCAGAGTATTATAAAACCACTCCGGTACTCGGCTTCTGAAAAAAATGTTAAAAATAACAAGTGAGGAAGATTCAATAAGCAGATTCAGAAAGCACTTCCATTTCCAAACTCTGCTTTTTTTATATTTACTATTACACGACAGAGATTTGAGGTGCTAATAATCATATAGCTAAGCAACCACTGAGATACCTGACAATTCTTGCTTGGATATTTTATACTGGAAAGTATTTCTGTATATTCAGAGCTATTGGGTAAAAGACATGAGATTAAAGTAAATCAGAAAAACAGACAGATGTTGGTCCCCGATAAGCCGCACTAGATGTTCACCCAATGAAGCAGCCAGGCTGAATTTCAAATCTGAAGAACGAAATTCCTTGCAAATCAACATCTCAAGTAACACAAGGTGCATTTCATCGCCAACCCTTAATTCCAGTTCTAACATTGTCGCTTCTGGTTATGCTGGGGCTCTGATAGTCAAAAATGTGCAGAGTGTATAAAGTGTTCTCCACCTGTTTGGTTCACTAATGAAGTCATGACCTCTCTCTAACCAATCAGTTATTGTAGTGCTCTTGAAGGGACTAAAGACTTTCTCCAGGAGATCTTTCTCTAATAAACCAAGTGATTCCTTGGATACGATGACTCGATTTGTTACTTTACTCCAATGTGGTAAGACTTTTTCACCAATATCAGACAGTGGGATAGCTTGAAACAGAGGGCAGCATCTGATTTTGAGAGAGAAAGATTCCTTTTGCGAGTGATGATTAGCCATCTGAGTGCTCTTCAGTAAGAAAAGGACCCTTAGAAGGTGAAGGATCTGCTTATGCTGATTTAGGTTAGTCCTTCGCTGCAGGTGATGGTGTCCCAAATCTTCTTCCTGGGCCATACAGGTAAGAGAGAAAGGCATCATTTCCCTGTCCTCAAAGCTCTGCATTGTAGTAATCCAAAGTAAGTGGTGGAATGTTTGCTGGTTGTAACGAAAGACATAATTTAATGAATCTCAATATGAACCTGCAAGAAAGTAAAAATACAGGAAAATAAACTGGTTATCATTAAAACCACAAAATTAGTCAATTTTGATAGCTTTATCTGAAACCGAACTGACCATTTAACTATTTTAAGGGACCTGTTTAGATTACAGAAACTTTGATGTGGGATATGACCATAAAGTATAATTTACAGGTACGGTATAGGTCTGTGGTGGCAAACCTGTGGCACGCGTGCCACAGGTGGCACGCAGAGCCCTCTCTGTGGGCACGTGCGCCGTCGCCCCAGTCCTAGGCCTTCAGCTGGGTTTTATAAAACCTTTTTGCGTTAGGCCTCCACCACCATGTGCAAAAAAAAAAAAAAGGTTCAATCAATCAATTTCAACTTCTCGTGGGGAAAAAGAAGATCTTGCAAAGTTGGAATTGATTGATTGAACTTTTTAGTCCCATCCAGTCTGCCATTACCACCGCAATCACGCTCACCCAATGGGCCATGCCCACCCAATGGGCCACACCCATCTGGCACCCAACGATACATAAGTGGGTTTTGGGTTGCAGTTTGGGCACTCATTCTCTAAAAGGTTCGCCATCACTGGTATAGATGGTACCTTGTTCAATAGTAGCAACTGTGAGAGGGATCTTGGAGTCCTAGTGAACAGTTACTTAAATATGAGCCAGCAGTGTGCTGCAGCTGCCAAAAAAGCCATCATAGTGCTAGGCTGCATTAACAGAAGGATAGAATCAAGATCAGCTGAAGTGTTAATACCACTTTACAACGCCTTGGTAAGGCCACACTTGGAATACTGCATCCAATTTTGGTCACCACGATGTAAAAAAGATGTTGAGACTCTAGAAAGAATACAGAGAAGAGCAACAAAGATGATTAGGGGACTGGAGGCTAAAACAAATAAAGAACGGTTGCTGGAACTGGGTATTAGTTTAATGAAGAGTAGGACTAGGGGTGACATGATAGCAGTGTTCCAATATCTCAGGGGTTGCCACAAAGAAGAGGGAGTCAAGCTATTTTCCAAAGCACCTGAAGGCAGGACAAGAAGTAACGGATAGAAACTAATCAAAGTGAGAAGCAACCTAGAACCAAGGAGAAATTTCTTGACAGAACAATTAATCAGTGGATCAACCTGCCTCCAGAAGTTGTAAATGCTTCCACACCGGAAGTTTTTAAGAAGAGACTGGACAGCCCATTTGTCTGAAATGGTATAGGATCTCCTGCCTGAGCAGGGAGTTGGACTAGAAGGTTTCTTCCAAATCATCATCATCATCATCATCATCATCATCATCATCATCATCATCATCATCATCATATAATGATGATGAAGAATCACCCCTGTGGTCTTATGTTGCCTATCTGAGGAATCAAATAAGTTTATTACTTTGAACTGTGGATAGATTAAACTAACATTTGGTGAAAGAAGCCAAGGCCATAAAGTATTATTTAATCTGCATTTGATTCAACAAATCTAATCGTGATTTTTATAATCCTGTTTCAGCACAGCATGGTTTAAATTTTTTTTTTTAAATTGACTTTTTTATGTTTGTTGATGTTTTCCTACCCGTATATTATTTTGGTACTATTATTCATTATTAAGGGCATTCCCATTTTAGAGGAAAAAGTAAAATATACATTTTGGTTATAATCACTTGTTAATGCATAGATTATATAGTAAATTAAACCCCAAATCATCTTATAGAACTACTTTAAGCAAATAAAAACCCATCAACTACACTAGAATACCACCATAGCCCCTTTTAAATTTTACGGCTCAATAAAACAAGACACTTCAATTGATCTAACTTATTCTCAAATCTGTTTGATTTTAGCTTAGCCTGGTATGTAAATCAAGCTACTTATTCAATGTAATTAAAACAAATCAGAATCTAAAGAAACGGAGCAACATATACAAATAGTCCTCTCTTCCCTGTGAACTCTTATTGCTAAGCAATATTGTTGCAAGGCACATGACAGTGCCAACTTACAACAATGATTCCATCAGTTCCAGTTGTTGCTAGGCAAATCCTACGCGGTTGCATTGTCCCATAGTTATGTAACCATTTGCAATCTCCTGCTGGCTTTTCCATTGAAAGAAGCTGGCAGTGAAGATAGCTAATGGCAATTGTGACTGCAGGATGTTGTGATGTTGTAATAGCAAGCCTTGCTGCCAAACGTTTGAATCACAATAACATGACAGTGAGGACACTGACAGTTTCAACTATGAGAACCCACTGCAAGTACTCCTTGTTCCATATTGTCATAACTTTGGTCACTAAACAATGGTATGTTAAGCGAGGACCATCTGTAATAGCAGTACTAATAAACTGTGAAGGGTGAACCTTATTTTACATAGCATTCTATGGCATTAACAACAAGCATGCACTATCCAACTTTTCATAAAACCAGGTACTTGTACTTCAGAAACTTAATTTTCTCTCTTCTAGTACTCTTTAGCTTTTATGCTACAATTAGATTGCTGCAATTTAAAATCTTTTTACACTTTGTTGAATGTGGCATTTGCCATTATCCAATAAACTAAATACCAGAACATTATCATCCGACAATTGCTTGTTTAGAATAGACCAATAAGGCTCCAAAGTGATCTGTGGTGTCACACTTCAGGAACATGTTTTCTTAAACACATTAAATGGAACATTAAAGCATATCCAGATTTAAGGGACTAGTTTTTGGATCAAGATGATTACAATTTTCATCATAAGAAGAACACATTATAGAGAAATGTTTGAAATGTAAGAGAAATCAATTTTAAGAAACTGAATGAGTTCTACCTGCACAGTGTTAACAAGTTTCATATTCCAAAATAAAATATCACCTGTTGCCTTCAATTGTTAACAAACATACAGAAAATAGTAGCGCAGCAATGTTGGGAAGATCAGTAAGATAAACAGAACTGCCTTTTACCAGCTGATAGTATTTGTCCATCTACTGTAGAGTGACCTACAGAAATCCAGATGTTTATGAATTACAATTCCGAGTACTTCTAGAAGCATGGTCAAAGCATGTGTGTAATTATATAACATCTGAAGGCCACAGATTGCCTATTAAGCTAGTGTAACGTTGTCTGCTGATTTGCTGGTTAATCAATCCTTTCATAGGATTACATCTGAGATATTTAGCATTCATGGCATTTAAATCCTGTTCTAAGGGATCATCCAAGGATCATCTAACTGGGAACAAATCAGTGTAACCTGGAAAGTTCAACCAAAATGTTTTACACAAATGATAATTAAGAGTTCAGAAAAATATATTTATTGGACAGAATTCACTATTAACTCATCTATGTTTTTTAATTTTGGGTACGCCACAGTTCAAATCCAACAAGAGAGATGACTGACATTTGCTTTTCTCACTTTAATATTGGAATAGGAAACAAACTGCACTATTCTTATCCATTTACTCAATCCAATTTTCTAGAACTACACAGCACAATTACTCATAAAACTAATTGGCCAGGCAAGGAGTGGCTGTTTTGTGGCTTAGTGCAGGGTTTTTCAACCTTTTCACCCATTGTACCACTTTTAGGATATGGCAATATCTGAGTACCACCAGTCGCCCTGCAAGGTGTCAAAAACTTGATGACAAAAAAAATGGCACTGAAAAAAGTGCCCCCCAAGCCACAGCCGAGCAAGACACCTGCTTGCCCACCCGGTGATGCTCTTCCTCCTGTCCGAGGTTTTCATTGTTGTGAGCATTTCTGTTGAGGATTGGCAGCGGGGGGTGGGGTGGGAGGGTGTTTGGTTTTTAATCTCCCCGTCTGCTGGGTGGTTGCAGCAGGTTTTGGTCACTTCACATGATCCTGCAACACTGTGACCATGATAAATATAAATCGGTTGCCAAGCATCTGAATGTAAATCACAAGACCCTGGAGATGCTGCAACATTCCAGCTGATCGGCGCTTCTTCTGGGCTCAGCAGAAGCACCAAGATCAGTGTTGCTTTCCAGCTGATTGGTCCTTCTTCAGGGCTCAGCAGCTAGAGCCTGGCGCTGATCCTGGCGCTTCCACTGAGCCCTGATAGTCCCGAAGAAGCACCAATCATCTGGAAAGCGGCACTGATCCTGGCGCTTCTGCTGAGCCCTGACAGCCCTGCAGCTCCAGCCATCTCTCGCTCAGGTTTGTGCGGTGCTGCCACCGGTTCAGCTCATTCCCCTCCCCCGCTACCACTTTTCTAGGATGGTCGCATACCACCTGCAAGGTGCCAATGTACCACAGGTGGTACCCGTACCACTGGTTGAAAAGCCCTGGCTTAGTGTACTGGGTTAACACAACCCTAAAGGCCTCAAAGAAAGAGGGGCTCTTATCATTTTCTGAAACAGCTTAATCTGAACCCCAATTTTGTCTTGAGACCTGATCTTAGTCTTTGGACTAAACCAAGAAATGTATAAACCTAATTCTGAACACTTAAATGAGTGTGTAAATGAGTGCATACATCTTTATTTACATTCACTAGCTCAGCTAGGCTCAAGTAAAATTCATGTTTCTTCTGTCCTCAGTGGAACCCATACAATGCTTCCTCCTTCAATTGTTTTCCCCTCACCAAAACCACCTTATGAGGTAGGCTGGACTAAGAAAGAATACCTGTCTCACAGCTACCCAAAGAGTATTTGGGGCTTAGAATGGATTTAAAAAACCCAGTCTTCCCCATTTGGAAATTAAAAGAGGGTTGTACTCAGTGGTGGGATTCAGCCAGTTCGCACCACTTCAGCAGAACCGGTAGCTAATTTTTTTATTGCCCAGGCCCAGAATGGACTTTTGGAAGCAGCATCCACAGAAAACTGGTTGTTCACATATTTGAATCCCACCACTGGTTGTAATATGTCCTTTTGTCATATCCTGCTTTTATATTATTACTGTCATTTCTCTGTATGATAATTATCATCTTAAGTGCTTTTATTTGGTTGCTAGTCACTGAAACTCTAGGGTTGGGCAGAATATACATGTTAGTTAGTAAAACATTATCTAATTCCACTTCAGGATGTTGCAGGAAATTACTCCAAAGGGACTTACCTTTTGGTTTGATACATCGTAAAAATCTGCAATACAGAGTTAATTAAAAAAAACCCATTGAGGTAGGTGTAGGTAAGCATTACAATCAGCATGATTTACTACCTTTTAATTTAGGCCAGGTGAGTTTAATCCTCAGCAGCTACATTCACAGCACACACATCTATGATGATCTTTAACCTTGGTTTGTTTTCATGTGGCTTTGCGTGGTAGGCAAACCCCTTTTAATTAGCTAATAAATCATTTTATTGGATAAACCCACGGGGTATGGTAACTCAGTAACCACGCTTAAGTGTGTTGCTAATTAGGCAGTGCAAACCCAGAAAGCGAGGTTAGTTCAGTAAGTTCACGTCGCTGCCAGCCATCTCTAAGGTTACATTTGGTTGGGCGAGGAGTCCAGGAATCTCAGCTTGCTGATAAACCATGTTTGTGCAGGGAGTAAAATATACAATTTAAAACAAGTAAAGCCGGCAGAGGCTGACCCATGTGGGGCAGCCCTTCCTATTCTTATGATGATTTTTGCCCCCCCCACCGCCAAAGAAAAGCTCACCTGTAGCCTGACGTTGAACATCATCGAAGCCACGAGGTACAGGTAAGGGAAATTGATGCGGAGCTTCCAAGCCAAGTCGAAGAAGATGAGGAGGGTTCGCGTCAGCCCTTTGCAAAAGATGCCGTAGGTGCGGGCGGTGGCCGACTGGGAAAGCCGGGCAGCCAAGGCGGACAGGAGCGCCGACGTCGCCGCCGCCATCGACGCCCACACACACACACACACCTGCCGAGCCAGGCCTCGTAGGCTCCGCCCTCCGCACGCACTCGCCGAGACCCGGATGTCCATGGACCGGAGCGCAGCCGAAGGGCTAAATCAAGTCACTCGCGCTGTCGCTGACAATGACGCAGGCTTCGTGCGTCAAGTCGCACAAGCTTCACCTCGACCAATCCAGGCTTTTCTATAAGGATATCTTCCTCTCCTTTCGCCCGCCCGGCTTTCCCACTCTGCTTTTTAATAAGGAGCTTTCCGCTTTGGTGTTTTGTCTTTAAATCTTAGGACGGACTTAGGATAACAACTTTGACAATGGTTGCACCAGGGGTAGGCAACCTTGGCTCTTTTATGACTCGTGGACTGCAACTCCCAGAATACCTGAGCCAGCCATGCTGGCTCAAGAATGCTGGGAGTTGAAGTCCGTGAGACATAAGAGAACCAAGGTTGTGTACCCCTGGGTTACACAATCGCTTGTCAATTACAAATCATACGCTGCTTTTGGGGATCATGCCAGGGCGTGATTTCCCGCTTTAACTTTATTTTTAGTGCACAATGCTGGCTACAAACAAGGGTAAGGGGTTGTGGATGATTGGGTTTTGTTACCCTCTGGTCCTTGGTGCAGGTTGAGAGGGAGCAGAGTGGCCATTTTTCATTGGTGTGTTGAGATGGGACGTCTCTTGCTAAAGACCAGTGCTTATCTTAGCAATCAGAATTTAACATTACATTCAAACAGCAAACTTCACATGTAGGTTTTCATGACCCAAATGTATATAGGAATATGTATTTGTTTCCAACAATATGAATTCCCGTTTCTCATCAAACCCTTCGGTGGGGAGGTCAAGTTAGAGAAGGGCAAAAATTCTCCACCCAATTTTAGATAATTGTAGGCATTGCATACAGTGTGAATCTTGGGACGATGGCTTCAGAATCTAAGCTATTTAATACAAAGCAGAATTGTTCTTCAGAAGCTGGTCCTTTCTGAGGATTTTAGGCACATCATCATGTGAAAAAGTCAGTGGAGAACGTTCCCCCACAGGTAGCTTTAACACAATCAGACTATGAACAGACACTACATATGTTTTTACAATGATACTAATAGATAATGCGTGTAGTTAACAAAGCATATATAACTGCAGCTGTAAGGAATTGACTTTGAAATGATAAACCCAGCAATGCTTTCTCTGTAGTAGTCAATGAATGCAGACCTGGAGAAATGCCATTAGTAATTCTGTATGGACCAGTCCAATTTGCTTGAAAAGTATGCACCTTGCTCTTAATTTTGCAATGTGTAATTCTGGAATTATATAATTGTTCATTTTTTCTACCTAAAAAGGTTGTCCAAAATCTCTTTTCATATGCTCAGAGACTACATCTAATTTACATCTGAATTGTAAGAAGATACATTAACATAAGTGCATTCAGTTAGTTACACTACTGTGTTTTGTGCTGATCGCACAACAATTCCTCTTTTATTTTAATTACTCTTGACAAACTAATGTGCCACTTGGCAAACATTATAAATTAATTATGCAAGACTATGAGAGTTCTGCTTGCTGGTTTAGCTTGCAAACTGTGTGAACTTTTACTTCAGCATCATCTCTTTTTCCCTCCTCCAATTCTTTATTAACAACAGAGTCTCCTATCCCTTCTTGGCACATTTTTACTCTTTACCATCTGCAGTATATTATATACTCAGTAGCTTTGTCTTTGCTCAGATCTGAATCACAATCATTTCTATTGAAATGATAGCTCATGACTCTTGTCAACTGCAACTTAGGATCCCCCCTGCCCCCTAAGGAACCAGACCTCACTCCCGTCCCCTCCATCCCCCATGGAATCAGACAGGCCTCTATAACCAGTGGTGTCTGCAATAATAAATTCCCACTATTCACAGGGGAGCAGGGGCCCAGAGCCCTAGTTTTTTGTACTCCAGAAGTCCTTGCTCATCACATTTAAGAAATAGATTGTCATAGGAAACAGGCCCAGAAAAATGGTGATTAATCCCTGATGGTGTTGTTCCTCAGGCCCTAAGGCTAACTGCATGAGCGCCCCAGTCAGGCTACCAGGGCCCAGATCCTGATAGGATGTCACTCCCAAGACATGTCAGCAGTTTCTGTGATAAGCTAGGCTTGAGAAACAAACATGCCAATGTCCTTAAATGAACTGGCCTATTTAAGAACAACTGCAACAGACTGACCTCCAGTTGACTGTATTTGTCCCCTTAATGACCCGGGACTAAATCTGTCAGGCCTGCACCACACATGGACAAGCTATGAGCATAGATGTGATCTGACCAAGCTTTTGGTGGTAAATCTGTTGACCATCACAATGAACAGAAAAGTTTCAGCTTCAGGGGCTGCCATTCTGAAACTTACACCTCCCCCCCAAAAGCTCAAATTTTAATTTTGCTTATTTATGGTTCCAGCTATGGGCATGGGGGTTACCTTTGCTTTGATAGTGGTTTCTGCAGCCCTAAGTAGAGATGATTTGTGTGGTGCCACGATGAGGCCTAACAATGGGAAGTTAGTAGAAATAATAATTTAGTTTTTGATTTGAGGGTTGTTCCAGGTACAACCCATATAAATTTCATGAGGATCTCTTCCTCCTGAGATATGCGTTTCAAAAACTGGGGTGACTGCTTTCGGCCACCATTCCTAATATTGCTACCCTTGTGATCTGATCATTGAATCTCATTTGACCTCTCTGAGGGAGAAGCAACTTTCAAAGAAAAATAGGAAAGAGCCATTCCAGAGATGGCTGCCTACAAAGTCCAGATGCATAACCATTTTCCAGCTAAAGGTTTTGGCTCCATTCCCAAAGCTGCCTGAACCAAAAGAAAGTATAACTACAATTAAACATTATCCTATCACATATGTGCTGCCAGTTAATTCAATTTCCGCAGTAAATTTTTAGTAAATAGAGTGCTGCAGAAACATTCAGGGACCAATGGAGAAAAGTTTGGAGGCCACAAAAGACACATCTAGCCTAGTTTTGGTCTGTGGAGAAAAGAGAGGGCTAGTCTGTTNCTTCTAAGGTAAGTAAAATGAGGACCCAGATTGTTGGGGGCAATATGCTGACTCTGTAAACTGCTTAGAGATGGCTGTAAAGTAGGGGTCCCCAACCCCCGGTCTGTGGACTGGCACTGGGCCACGGCATACCAGCAACTGGGCCGCGCAAACAAGTGAAGCCCCATCCGCTGGATGCAGGCAGCATGTGAAACCACGCCCCCTCTGGTCCGCGGAAAAATCTTTCTCCATAGAACCAGTCCCTGGTGCCCAAAAGGTTGGGGGCCTCTGCTGTAAAGCACCGTGAAGCAGTATATAAGTCTGAGTCTATTTCTATTGTTATTATCTGATGCTTTCAATTCAGTCTTATTCTGATAGTTGTTTTTTTTAATTTTCCTTTCATTATGTTACAGTGTTCTGGGAGCATCACAGAAACATGGCTTCTAACGATGAAAAAAGCATTATTTGTATCAAGGGGAATTATTGGAATGAGGGAAATTTCTTTCCTCAAGAAAATACACACTGCACTGGTTAGGGTGTCTCCTGCCAAATGTACCAAGTAGATCCAGAATGACCTCCCAGGGAAGGCAATCTTCTTCTGTGTCTAGATCAAACTTTAATCTGCCAGAATAAAGCCACCTTCTTGACTTTGTCATTGGCCAAAAATAAGTCATTATCGGTACATCTTTCTGGTACTTGCCAACATACCAGCAGATGGGCTGGGATCTGTATCTCTCCATTTTCACATATAGTGTGTGGTTATCTGCTAAGAGCCTCCACTTGAGGATATTGGTTTTACATTTAGGTATTCCAACTCCCAACCAATTCAGATTGGGACTCATTTTTACAGCATGAAAGCCCAGAAGACTTGTTATAATTTTTGCAATGTAAACAGTCCAGTTATCCAGATTTAATAAGCATGACACCTATTATAAACTGACCCACTGCTTCTTTTAAAATGGAACTCTAAGCCTTCCATTGTAAAATGTAGGCTTAGTTCCTTAGAAAACTGATTAACCATAGTACATGGTGAAGCAGTTAATGAAAGAACTGTGGTCATTATAAATCATGGGTAATAGGGCTGTTTCATAATGTAGCACTATCCTTGTTCCTTGCTACAAGAGAATACATTTGTACCTTCCTATCAGTTACTAAGCATAAACCACATTAAAGTTGTCAGTTTAATAAAACATTACAATATTGACTTAAAACATATGTACAGACTAATTAAAACAGGCAAGAAGCCCCTTCCCCCATTTGATAACTGGTGCCCACTGGATCTTTTTGGCCTGTAGATCAGTTCTAGGGAGTTCTATCTATAAGCAAAGCCCCAAGTGAGAAAGCCTCAAACCTGCAGTAGGTCATAAGTTGTTAGACAAAGCTGTAGAGTAGACTATTAATATCTCGCATATGGGCAGTTTGAACTATCAAAGCATGATTTGTTTTAAAAAAGGAAGCAGACTAAAAATCTAGCAAACATGGCAAGATCAGAAAGGAATAATGATGAAGTATAATGGAATTGAAACTAAGGAAAAAACAAATTATGAGGTAAGCAAACATTTAAATGAAAATGGAAATAGAGAAGGGAAAAATGAAAGATAAAAACAATGCTTAAATAGGCCACAATTTGAAGAATTTACCGGAAAGCCAATTATTTGATGACTATGTTTCCAGAGGCTTCTAGCTAATCCAGTTGGGAGTTTTGCCAAGGGAGGAAACATCTTGAGGGCTCCCTCAACATCTAAAGTTGATGGCACCATTTTGAAGGCCCAGGGGGCCCTTATCCATTTACAGACTATACCAGTGATGGCGAACCTTTTAGAGACCGAGTGCCCCAAAACTGGCCCCGCCCCTGCTCCACCCCTGCCCCGCCCCCACCCTGCCTGCTCGCAGGGCCACTCATCGCCTCCAGGGCCCACCGCAGATCGCCCAGCAGCACCATGGCAGCCATGCCCTCTGCCCGCACCCCGCAGCATCAACTGTGCGCGATGGGGCATGAGG